CGCTCCAAGCGGAAAAAAGCGCACAGCGGCCACGAACCAACGACAGCACAAGCGCTTTGATTTTTTATTAACGAACGCTCTAACTGACTAACTCAACTTCCAAAAGTAAAACGGCTTTACTTTGATTGGTTATTTAATGTAACTAATTAACTAATTACAATAGTTAGTTACATTAAGCAACTAATTAGTAACTAACAGTAAGTAACTAGTCACATTAAGTAACTAACTCACACTAACTAACTAACAAACTAAATAACTGCTTTACTTTGATTGATTAATTAACTAACTTCCAAAAGTAAAAATGCTTTAATTACTTTAACTAACTAACTTCTCGTGAGAGGCCATCTCATGAGAAGGGAAGACTCCCTGGAAAAAACCCTGATGTTGGGAAAGTGTGAAGGGAGGAGGAGAAGGGGACCACGGAGGACGCGATGGATGGACAGTGTCTGCGAAGCGACCAACATGAATTTGACCCAACTCCGGGAGGCAGTGGAAGACAGGAGGGCCTGGCGTGCTCTGGTCCATGGGGTCTCATGAGAGGCCATCTCATGAGAAGGGAAGACTCCCTGGAAAAAAACCTGATGTTGGGAAAGTGTGAAGGGAGGAGGAGAAGGGGACCACGGAGGACGCGATGGATGGACAGTGTCTGCGAAGCGACCAACATGAATTTGACCCAACTCCGGGAGGCAGTGGAAGACAGGAGGGCCTGGCGTGCTCTGGTCCATGGGGTCACGAAGAGTCGGACATTACATAATGACTAAACAACAACAAACTACCAAAAGTGAAGCTGCTTTGATTACACTAATTAACTAACTTCAAAACGTAAAACTGCTTTAATTGCATTACTTAACTAACTTCCAAAAATAAAACTGACCCAGCTTGGTTAATATTTTCTCCTCATCTGGCAAGGTATTAAAAATAGGGACCTGGAAAAAAGGGCCAAGAGCTGGTTTTAAGCCCTTCCTGGGTTTGTTTAGAGATGTCATGGGGGAGAGATGCTTTAAACAATGGGGCTCCTCAGGTTATCCGTGTATTAAGGGGTAAAGCGGTGTTCGCTTTCCCCCAGGATGGAGCTGGCTACTAGCCAGAGGGACGCCTTGGCCTCAGGCACATGGGACGAAGAAAAAGTGGCCATCTACTTGTCTTTTGGGTATGTAGGCTGGGATGCTTAATTTTTGTTTTTGTATAATCGCTATGTTTGTGTTTCTTAAACTGTTGTTTCTTTTATCATGTTGCGAACTGCCCAGAGCAGCCTTGGTAGCCAGATGGACGGTACATATAAAATTAAATAAACAAATAAACATCAGCCACTTGGCACTGCCTGGTCCTTCGGCATACCCGCGCACACCCCTGCTGCTCTTTATGAACAACCCTTACAGGCTGGAGGGAGAGTGAAGGTCAGTCTTATTTTTGCAAGAAGAACAGAGCTTCTCCATCTTCTCCTTCCATTGATATGGCCAATTTGATTTTTATATTGGCCATCTAATGGCATTCATGTGTCCTATGATCTCTTCAGTTCTCTGAAGCACTATTCTGCAGCAATTATTGATTTTGCCAAATTCACTACGTCTCTCCCTTGCTTCTCTGCTAGTGTCGCATTCTGCTACCACGGCTGCCCATCAAGAATTTCTCCACCTTTTCAACTCTGTTTTCTTCTGCTGATGTAACTATTAATTCCTGAAGAGATTGGTATATCTTAATCTGATGTCTCACATCTTCCTTGACATGATCAACCCCCTGCAGCGGACTATAAATCCCCCCCATTTTCTCCTTTTGGATGCCTAAGTTACTTCTCCAATGTTCTAAATTGTCCAGATATTTTTTTAAAGGGTGGCAGTAATGCTTAGAGTTGCCAACATTTCTACCTATAGCTGTAGCTATGCTTTTAGGAGGGGACTGGTTTGCTACAGCTGGTCGACACAGCATCAGCCTAATCCTTGAGCATCACCAATGAATCTTCTGCTAAAGGCGGTTGCATGACATAACAGTTGTCATCATTTCTGGTCAGTTGGCAACTCCAGATACTTTCTCCTTTTTTTTTTTAATCAGAAAAAGGCTTCCCCCCCCCATAGCAGGAAATTTCTCGCTTCTCTCCACCAGTAAACAGAGTTCCTTGCGCCTTCTCTATTTCACGCAGTCAAATAGAGCACACTCCATCGCTGGAGTGGGTGCGTTATTTTGGAGAAAGATTGTTTTTAAAAAAAAGTAAATTAAGGGTAAATGTTCAGAAAACAGCCGGGGAAGATCTCTGCTCCCAGAACTCTCTCTGTTCCTCGTGGCTCGAACTACAGAGGAAGTACAACTCTGATTTCCTTTCCTGCTGCTTCTTTAGAACGGCTTTTCCGGTATTCGTTGGGATTTCTCTGCATGGCAAGAATCCAACCGGTCGGTCTGCAGACACAACATGTCTATGCTCCGGTGGTTGTCTTAACCTTCTCATTTTCTGCACCAGCAAACCGTCTGGATTTGGGGGGGGTTGTCATCATGAACCACACCATTGAGTTATTGCTAAGTCTTGCTCGTGGGCCGCACTAGTCTCTACCGTGTGTGTACGGCCACACCAGACCACGTTGCAGAAGGCTGGGTTCAGATTTAGGGTCATGCAAGTGGGCTGGTGCAACTTATGTCCCCCCCCCCAAAATGCAACAGAGGAGACAGGGAGTCCCCCATCCGTGGGGTAGGCGGGGACATGGAGGCTAAGAGCGAAAGGAAAATCCAGATTTTGGAAAAAGTTACTTTCTTTTGGATGTGCAGAAGTACAGGACACAAGTTCCTTGGAGGAAATGTGGATGGGACTCTGAATGTTTTGCCTTAGGAAAAAAAAAGCAAACTGAAAACAATGAGGAAAGATGCTGGCACTCCATAAATATCTGGAGGGCTTTCTTCCCACAGAAGAAAGCCGAGACTTGATGGAAGGGGTCACCAACTTCCCGGGGGGGGGGGGCAAGGTCCAGTAACAGCATAAATCAAGGTATGTTGGCCAATGCTGTGGAAATAAAGAGTTACCAGCAGTCTTGTGAGCTGTAACAAGTTACTTTGGGGTAGCTTGTTACCAGTTCTTACATATAGCATTCTTTGGTGTTTCAAGTAGGCAGGTGGAAAAATATCTTGGGAACTCATCTGGAGTCGGCGACCGTGCAATATAGCTGGTGGCGTCATGGTCAATCCAGAAGGGCAGGCATCCATCAGGATCGTCCTCCAAACCATGGGTTGAGTGCTGCCACTCCGTAGACATGCACCGGGGGAAAATATTTGTAAACGTCTTGTTTTAAAGAAGCCTCCCAAGTGCATAACCCTCTTTTTTTAAGCAAGGCGTGTGCTCCTCGTGCACCTTCTTTTAAGCAAAATGTAGAGGACAAAAGGGCTCACTCCAATAAATTCCAGCATGGAGTGGTGGACTCCATGGAGGTGAAGTCCCCACCCACCCATCCTGGACATGCCAGGTGCACATCTTGGTCTACCCAAATCCTCAAGATTTTCCAGTACACTTCTCCCTTCAACCACACTGTGGTTAGGGGTTCTGGACCCCTGTGTCACTCAAAATCTGTGTATAACTCTTATGGCCGGACTCTTGCCATCGGCCAGGGAGGGGGGGCAACCGCACCGCAAGCAACAGATAGCGGCACAGTATTCACTGAAAGTTTATGTATTTATTGGGGAGCAAATCCATCTGCCCACCGTACCGTCCACAACCAAACTAGAATTGCAACAGCTGAAGCCGGTGCAATTCAAGGGAGAAGTGTAATTTATGTTCCCAGCTGCTGTGAAAGTATTGCCATATTCAGAAGGAATAGGGAAGTGTGTACAGGGGGGTGGAGTGGAGTGGGAGAGCAGATGATGCAATAACGGTCATGGCCGATCCTGGCGCCAGGGACCCACACTGATGCAACACAAAACTTTTGCTCACTTTTGGTTCTAGCAGAGGTGGAACAGCTGGCCGCCAAGAGGCCGTGATGGCCCATGCTCCTTTTTTTCCGCCGACCCCACAGCTCCCCTCCTTCAAATGCTCCACGGAACAGCTGCTTCGGGCACATCTGGCTCTTGAGATGTAGGGAGCCATACTGAACTGGGGCAGGGCTAGATTTTCCCCACCCCACAGCCCATTGGACACCATCGGGATCTGTGCTAAAATATTGGGAGCAAGTATT